ATAAAAAACAATAAACATCGTCGGCTTCCATTTTTATTAGGTATGACAATGACGAAGTAATAAAAAATCGTAAACCACAAGTAATACTATTGAAATCACTGTAAACGAAATCTGAGTAATCGATATGTATGTAGAATAAAATAATTTATATTCAATATAGGTTACAAGTAATTTTTTTTTCACCATTGGCTTTGAAAAAAACCTCTGTCTTTTGATGAACTAGCAGCCCACCGAGTAATTTTTTTTCAAAGTAAATTTTTTTAATAAATTACAAGTTGTACAAACTACATATAAAACTTATTTGAGAAATAACTTGGAAACGACAACTTTAACGCTGGGATTTAAAAATAAGTTAAATTAAAATATAAAATCCGTAAAATATAGTTTTATTCAATGTGTAATATTCGCATAAATATAAGAAATCACAATTTTTTCATTTAAATTAAAATTCCAAGCATATTTTTTTTGTTAAGTGTTATATATAATCGAAGAGTCAAAAAAAACCACGTTGCTACAACGTCAAAGGTGCCAACAATAAGGTCATTCCTAAAAATATTGTGTGATACCTTACCGATGTGTAAAATGTGCCCAGGGACATAAAACCGCTGATTGTCCAAAGAAAGAACGTAACACACCAGCACAATGCGCCCTTTGCCAAGGCGCACACCCGGCTAATCATAAAGGCTCCGAAGTCTACAAAGAGATGCTAGAAAGAAGTATGAAAGAAACCCAATGTTCAAGGTTAAAACACGAGAGGTGCCAAGTAAAACTGTTCCCAGAGATACTCAAACACATCTTGAAGAAACGCAAGAATAAAAACTGTACTGTGATATATTGAAAAAGAAAAAAATCGAATCAAAAATTGTTAATTGCAATTATAAGTGCTTACACACGTGTACGATGGTGAAGGAAAATAACGTGAGGAAACCTGCATGTCTGAGAAATAAGAAAATTATGGGGCAGCGCGGTGGACAATTCCTTGCCCTAAAACCTTCTCAGAAATTAGCGGAGCCCTATGTCCAGGTGGGTCGTATAAGGGCTGTAACTTAACGTGTCTTACAACAACGTATCTTACAACTTAACTAAATACTCTTTTCGGGTATCACAATATTTGTTGTATTTTATGAGCCTGCGCTCATAAACTACATATTGAAAGTTATCAAATAAAGATGTTAATGATATTTTAAAAAAATATTAAAATTACAAAAATAATATTATTGAGTTATGTAAAAAAATATAATAATAATAATAAAAATTGAAGAGTCGATGCTGGAAACGCGCAGCATGCCTCTCGAAAATCGACCGCGACTTCCCCGCATACCCCTTAGCAAGCAAAATCGGGCTGTCGTGCGGGCTCTTAACCCAATGCTGGTGACCTATTTGGAAGCCAGCCGGGACCTTTGCGAGACGGACTCAATTCTTTTTGGCGCCGCACTGGCAGTATGCCGTATTATTGGCGCCAAACTTCCCGTGGCTGGACGTGCTACTCAAAAAAGTAGCGCCACCCCAGCCTGGAGAAAAAGAATTGAGGGACGTATCGCAAGGGCAAGGGCCCTTATCGGCAGACTGACAAGCTTCAGGTCGGGTAATAATAGACCGAGAGTTGTGCACATCGTTAGAATGGCATTTGCTGTGACAAATTTTAGTTTGTCCCAGCCGGATATCACGCAAAACTAACGGAGCGCATAGATGACCTGAAGCAAAAAATCGCTGCTTGGGGGAAGCGGATTCGACGATTTAGCGAGAGGTCAAGGCGGTTCAACCAGAATCGTCTCTTCCAGAGTGATCAGAAGAGGCTCTATAAATCATTGGAGCGACCAGAGGTATGTGGAGCGGGCCCAGGACCGGATCAGGCTGACACTGTCGCATTTTGGCGTGGCCTGTGGTCAGAGCCCGTAAACCACAGCGAGGGCCCTTGGATGGAAGTTGTGGCGAGCTAGAGTGCAAGTGTTACGCCTATGGAACCCGTCACCATAACGCCTGAAGACGTGGCTGAGGCGGTCCGTAGGGCCCCGAACTGGAAAAGTCCGGGGCTCGACGGGCTGCATCATTACTGGCTGAAGGGGTTCGTAATGTATCACGCTGTGCTCGCCCGACAGTTTCAAGAGCCTCTCGATCAGAAGTCGCTCCCGAGCCTCTTCACTACTGGGATCACTCATTTGGTTCCTAAAGATCAGGATACCACAGGCCCGAGCAAATACCGCGCCATCACGTGTCTACCCACCATATATAAGACACTGACATCCATTTTGAGCGCGAGAATCACTCGTCACCTGGAGCTAAATCAGGTGATGTCACGCGCTCAAAATGGATGTCGGGGCGGTAGTCGTGGAACCAAGGAACCACTCCTCATTGACGCGGTCATTGGCAAAGTGGTGAAACGCAACCGTCGGAATTTCTCCGCCGCTTGGATAGACTACAGAAAGGCATTCGACTCGGTGCCCCATACATGGCTAAAGAGAGTCCTCCAGCTGTACAAAATTGACTGTACAGTTGGAGACTTCCTCGAGCAGTGTATGGGGCAATGGAGTACGATCCTTTGCTATCTGGGCGAGCGGATGATGGCTGCGGAGAACCACATAAGGGTAAGAAGGGGTATCTTCCAGGGCGATTGTCTGAGTCCATTCTGGTTTTGCCTCTCTCTGAACCCTCTCAGTACTTTACTAGAGGGCTCCGGGAGGGGGATTTCAGCTTCGGAAAGGAGGTACAAAAGTGACCCACCTTTTCTATATGGATGACCTCAAATTATTCGCCTGCAGTCGATCCCATCTTATGGAATTGCTAAACATCACTTGTGAATTTAGCAATTCTATTGGAATGGAGCTGGAAACGGATAAGTGTGCGGTCCTCCATGTTGAAAGGGGAAGGGTTGCTAACTCTGAGGGCATAGACTTATCTATGCCGTCCACTTAAGGACCCTTTCCGAGGCTGAAACATACCGATACCTGGGTGTGTCACAGAACATCGGTATCGATGAGGCTGGTATGAAACAGTCAGTTTGCGACGTGTTTTATGCACGCTTGACCAAAGTGCTTAACAGCCTTTTGTCCGGTGTGAACAAGACACACGCATATAACGGTTGGGTCATGCCTGTCCTCATGTATACCTTTGGCATACTCAGGTGGACCCAGACTGAACTTAACGCCCTGGATAGAAAAGTCCGCACTACCATGACGTCCCATAGGATGCATCATCCGAGATCGTCGGTAATGAGGCTGTACTTGCCGCGAAAGCATGGTGGGCGTGGTTTTCTGAGCGCGCTCACCATGCATAATCGCGAAGTGTGCAGCCTCCGTGATTACTTACTGGCGAGATCGGATGAACCATTTTATAATGACGTCATTTCTAGTGATAAAGGGCTTACCCCTCTATCCTTAGCCAACGAGCAATGGCAGGACCCACATGAGCATTTCCGACCGGGAGACCGTATGGAAGGAGAAGGAGCTCCACGGGAGGTACTACAGGGCTCTACATGAGCCCCCACGTAGATACAGCCGCCTCCCTCAACTGGCTACGTTTCGGTGACCTCTTCGGGGAAACCGAGGGTTTTGTCTGTGCAATACAGGATCAGGTTATTAAGACCAACAACTATCGGAGATACATCCTAAAGGATGGCACTGTCGACATCTGTCGAGCTTGTCGCCATCCCGGGGAGTCACTTAGGCATGTCATCTCCGGTTGTTCGGCGCTTTCTAACTCTGAGTACTTGTACAGGCACAACCTAGTGGCCAGAATTCTACACCAGGAGCTCGCTCTGAAATACGGTCTCGTGGACCGAAAATTGCCGTATTACAAGTACTTGCCGGAAGCCGTGCTCGAAAATAACCGCGCCAGGCTCTACTGGGACCGGGCCATCATCACAGACAGGACTATTCTTGCGAATAAGCCTGATATTGTGCTGATGGACCGGGCACAGTCAAGGATATTTTTGGTCGACATTACCATTCCGTATGACGAGAACCTCGAGAAAGCCGAAACAGACAAGCAATCAAAATATCTGGACCTGGCTCACGAGGTGACCGACATGTGGGGTGGTCTGCCGACCGAAATTATTCCTGTAGTCGTGTCTGCAAACGGGTTAATCCCAGCCAGCCTCTCGGGCCATCTGAGGCGACTGGGACTGTGTGACGGACCGCCCGGGTCTAGTTCTTTCCCTTTCCTCCTAACCCTCGGCCGTTTGGTCTCCCCTGCCGAGGGCTTCCATCTGGTTGGGCTTTTATTTATTTATGTATTGCTTATTTATTTATGTTAGTATATTAAATATATATTTATGTATATTTATAATTTCCTTTTATATGTTTATCCAGCCCAACCAAATGTGAATACTTTATCAATAACCCCCAATATAATAATAGTGTCCTCCAGACCGAATTTCGGCCACGGTGGCCTGCCTCAGCGGAGGCTAGCCATCGGCGCAGGGCAGGATTATAGTGCCCAAGTGTATGCGCAAGCACATGCACCCTCTATTTCCTCACTCTCGTAATTCGATGGGACAATAAACCGACACGACCGGAGAGAGATTAGGCGCAGGACCAACGGCTTTACGTGCTTTCCGAGGCACGGGGGTGAGACACCGCCAACTTCCTGACTCCGGGCAGCTACTGAGAATTTCTTGACAGAAAAACTCAATAATTAATTTTTTTGGCCCGACTCGGGATTCGAACCCAGGACCTCATGATCAGCATTCGTACTACTACAACCACTAGACCAACGAGGCAGTAAAAAAATATAAAGAATACATAATTGACGTCTCTTTGGCGCAGTAGCTAAGTAATGATTTAAACCGCGAAACAAGCATTTGTATGTACTTACAAATAATTGTTTTAGGTCTGGATGTTTGTACTTGTAAAATGTATGTATGTAAAAAGCTTTCACGATATAGGAGAAAATCCTAGTGTCGAGGTAATGTTTTTCTAAAAAGAAAAAGATAATTGGATTTACTGTAAAGTAATTTAATATAGTAGATATTCCTCCAAATAGTAAAAATTGTTTTATTCCAGATATCACCCGTTGGCGAGACATTGCGATATTCTCACATCGATAGAAACGCGAATATCGATGCTAAATATGACATACTCAAAATTCATCGACAACGGAATTTGCTGTTTCATTCCGGGGAAGGTGAGTAATAAATTTTTAAAGGAACAGTCTACCCTGCCTCATAGGAGTGTATTTGCCATAGTTGCCACGCGTGGCAGGCTGGTTAACCACCGCAGTATTTTTGTTTTTTAGTTGATATGAAGACGCTGCTGCCTATCTCTTACGACACCCCCGGGACGATATAGGATAGTTTGTATTCTTACACTGCCAATACACGGCCAGATCATCGCCATATTAAAGGGAAATTAATTTAAAATCTATTGCAAAACTTGTACTGAACAGATAAGTTAATTAAAATGTTGAAAAAATGGGTCGCGTTAGAAAACGCTGTAGATATATGATTTTTTTATTGAGTACCGGTGACAAACGAGCACATAGTCCAGCTGATAGTAAGTGCCTGCTGTGGCTCATAGACAACTACATTTATCCTTTATTAAGAATCAAAATGCAGATAATGCATCTGAGGATCCCTTCAGGGCACCCCTGAGCACCAAGATAGAATACCTTGTTTCCAGTGAAAAAAGTCTCCGGTTCTCTACACTCACCATACGAAACATAGCAGCATTAAGCTGCTATATTACGCTGGTATTTTGTGAGAGCGTATTCCTTCCCCGGTCGAGCCGATCCACTCATGCTACAACCAAAATATAGCTTCTACGTGATTCTACCACTTATAAATGGAATATTAATGAATTTTCTTCTCATTTGCAGGTCATAGACGAGATCAGACGCGTCCTTATACTAGTGGAGACTTCAAAAACTCCACCCAGGGCCCACGAAGTGCTGCAGGAGTTGCGTGATATATCTAGTATGGCTATAGAACATTTCGATGACAAAATCTCCCCCGCCTTCCGCAAACGTTTGCAGGAGGGTGTGGTTCAGCCAGCGCCGAGACCATCACACAGTAAGATATTTTTATATATTTTTTATTTTAGGTCTTTATTACGTTCCCTTTTAAAAAAAGTATACAAGGGGCGGACTTAATTCCTAAGGGCATTCAGGCATTGCTTTTTTGTAACATTTTGTAACATAGCTATCATAAAACTAAGCAAATAATATAGTCAAGCCAAACTTCTCAATCTCTAGCACAGGTGTAAAGTTACCAGCCTCTCGATAGTCTACAGGACACATTTCAGAGAGTGTGCGCAGTAAATACATTAATTCCTTCTTCTACAAAAACAGTTCATTTCATCTTAGTCCTTGTTGAGTATCAAGCTTGTGCTAGTAGAATTCTTGAATTAGCAATAACAATAGTTCAATTATTTAACTTTTAAAGTGTCATCAAGACTGTCTAAGAAACCGCACGCCTTTTTCAATGTATCCCTTTATAGATATAACTTGGGAAAGTATTCCCCTCTAGCCGGACTGGCTCACACTTACAACGAACTGTCCTCGAAGATTTCTGGCCTCGATATTACTTGCGATAGTTTATTACCTTCAAATCAAAATTAATCAATTTCTTTAAAAATAATGAACGAAATAATTCTATTTCTTTTTAATAATTTATTTATTGAATGATGTAATTCAGTTTTTTTTCTTATTATAATCCTTTCATTTAATTAAATAATCAATGCATGTTGTGATTACCTATAAAAAGAAATACGATTATAATGTGCTTAATTTGTTATGAAAATGATCTTTTTTTGTTTTGTTTTTTAAAAAAAAAAGAATATTAACAATGTTATTAACATTACTAATATTCCCCTTAACCGCTCATGGTAAGATTAAATTGCTTGTGTTACGAGAGGTTCACGCCAGTAGTCGAATGGTGGATTCGAACCAACGACCTTTTTGAGTTCGCGGTCCGCGCCCTGCCATTTGGCTACTGTCGCTTTTAGCTTTTAACTTTGTATTACTGTTGTAATTTCTGTGTAATCTATATATATATATGCAGACTGTATAGTAAATATATATATACCTATACATATGCATATATAAATATGTATGTCATGTGTACACGTTGGTGGCTGCGAAGCGCTCGCAGAACCGGTCTGACGGTCGCTGCCCGCCAATACGAGCCGGGGAGAATAATGGGCTGTGTCATCAGGAGCAGGTTTGAGATGGGAAAACGTGTTTTAGACCTATCTTACCCAACCCAGACAGACTCCTAGACTTAAAAACAAGCCCTATAACCTACTGTACATTAGTGATAAACTAAACCCAGTCTGTCTGATTTTATACTAAATAAGAATTTTTTTCCATAGGATAGAGTAACAAATAAGCATACAGTCCACCTGATGGTGTTTGCTGCGGCCCATAGACATCAACATCTATCCTCGATTACGAATCAAAATGTAGATGCGTTGTCACCCGTGAGGACTAAGATGAAATGCCTCGTTTCCAGTAAAAAGGGTCTCTGGTTCTCTACACTCACCGTACGAAATACAGCAGCATTAAGCTACTTTTTGACGCTGGTATTCTGTAAGAGCGTGGTCCTTCCCCGGTCGAGCCGACCCATTCGTGTTAACGACTAAAAAATAAAACTGCGGTTGCCAAGTATGGCAATTATGGTATATGGGGGATCTATGAGGCAATCTATCGGGTAAGCTATATCCGTTAGTGAACTTTAATAGGCTGTAAAGGGCTTAAACAATGCTTTGCTTTTTCCAGCTGTCCTGGCTCCACTTGCAATGCCTCAAGAGATTCTACAACTCAGGAGGAGATCCATACTCAACGCGAAACTGTCCTTGTACCTAGCCTCGCAGTACAAGAAGTTCTATAAACGGGTGAGATTGTTTATATTTATTATGGCTACCTACTAAAAACTTCGCACCACCTATAAACTTCGCATCAACTAGAAATTTCGCATAAGTACTTCGGAGTTTGTTGCAATTATGCTTCTTTTTTATAATTGATTATCAAACCTTGTACCAGTCCATGATGGTAAGTAGCTGCTGTGGCCCGTAGACGTCTGCAGCCATTTCAAACAAAGGCTACTGAACTGGTGTCATAGTTGAGGACTGAAATGGGCAAGCCATTTGCACGCACGTTGTAACTATACAGCAGGAAATCAGTCGAATTTGGTTCAAAATCAACGTAATTTGTGCTCCAAAAACCGATGTTAGCTCGCAATCAAGTAGTGTTCCAAAATGGAATCATCATAAATTATTTAGCCAACCGCCGCTAGGTGGCGCTTGTAAAACGAAGCGACGAGAATGCGTTTTCTTAATATTTTTGTACTATCTATGAATATCTGATGTGTCTAATGGTGCCAATACCAATGCTTGATCTGGATTTTCAAAACGAATTAGTTTGGGGAAAAGTTTTTAAAACAGTATGAACATATTGAATTGAAAACCAATATAAGATAGTCAAGCAGTAGTAAGTAAGTAAGTAAAAAATGTCAAAAAGTATCCGATTTTGTAATCTACCATTATAAATAATTCCGTCATCGACCAAAAGGCCTGTATCCCATAGACTACGTTTACACTTTCGTAGCTACAAAGGAGGCATGTTCGATGTATTACAGACTGTATCTTACAGATGCTGGTGTACAAGCGTATTGCTTGGGGACAGCAAAAGATGATTAGAGGTCTATCCCAGCGACAGAGGGACCAAAACGCCGCTATTGGTAAGAGTTGTGCTGACACCACTATTGTTCTCTTAAGGAAGGTGCTAACTAAGCTTAAACTCCTATATAGGTTTACGCCTGCCTTTTTTATAAATTGAAGTAGCAAACAAACTTAGTTTTATGGTAAGTGGTTGCTGCCCGTGAATACTTGTATGTAGAAGAGCCATTTGGTACGTGGTAGAGCCATGCTTTGGCTATATTATGGTGGTAGCACGATTGGGTCGCCTCGACCGGGGAAGGAGCTCTCACAGAATACCAACGTGAAATAGCAGCTTAATGCTGCTGTGTTTCGGTATTGTGAGTGTAGATCTGAGGACCAGTTTTACCAGAAACGTTGCATCCCATCTTAGTCCTCAGGGGTGGCAAAGCATTTGCATTTTGATTCTTAATCGAGGGTAGATGTCGATGTCTATGAGCAACGTTATCCACTTAACATCATGTGGGCTGGTGCTGGATTGTTTTTTCTATAAAAAAGAATACAATGATACAAAAAAAAAATAATACAATATTGAGAATACTAGCAGCTGGCTTCAGCTGCTAGTATTCACAATGTTGTATTTTTTTTTTTTACTTTTTGTATTACATTGGAGATGAGCAGGTAGCACCTTCCTGATAATAGCTCTAGTCTATATTCAGCAATGATATTTTCTTATAATGTAATGAATTAACAGATAAATGATTGTTTTATGATAGTATTTTTTTATAGAGATAGGGTGATACAATTAAAGCACACAGTCCACATGATGGTAAGTGGTTGCTGACAGCCCATACACATCTACATCTATCCTCGATTACAAATCAAAATGCAGATGCGTTGTCACCCATGAGGACTAAGATGGAATGCCTCGTTTCCAGTAAAAAGGGTCTCCGGTTCTCTACACTCACCACACGAAACACATGTACTCTGTGAGAGCGTGGTCCTTCCCCGGTCGAGCCGACTTATTCGTGCTACAACTATACTACTAATATAACTGCAGCATGGCTCTACCACGTATAAAAAGCAAACTTCCTACGTGGTAGAGCCATGCTGCAGCTATATTACTGGTATAATTGTAGCACAAATAGGTCAGCTCGACGGGGAAGGACCACGTTCTCAAAGAATACCAGCGTAAAATAGCACCGTAACGCTGCTGTGTTTCGAATGGTGAGTGTAGAGAACCGGAGATCCTTTTTACTGGATACGAGGCATTCCATCTTAGTCCTCACGGGTGACAACGCATCTGCATTTTGATTCGTGATTGAGGATAGATGTAGATGTCTATGGGCCGCAGCGACCACTTACCATCAGGTGGACTGTGTGCTCTTTTGTCACCCTTATCCTATAAAAAAAATAAGTAAATTTACATTAAGCATCGGTAGGTTAGTTTCTTTTTTAAAACCTTGAAGACCATCCTTTGTTTCTTGTAACAAATGTAGTATCTTTATCTTTTACAGCGGATTTAAAGAAACGTATAGAAGAGTGTGATATTAAGTACAGTGAACTAACACATACGAATCAGGCTGTCGGAGGAAAAGCGATTTCTGGTAAGTAATTAAAACTTGTTAGACTAAAAGTGTAAAAACTTGTTAGAATACTGATTATAAAGAAAGGCTCTTGAGTGGCAGCCTTGTATTGGCAAATATAGTGTAGTGAAAACCCTCACTAGACTGAGTTACAATATGATTAAATGCAGGTGGCTTGGGAATGTGCATAGAGGCAGGCAAAATTCAACAGTAGACTTATGTAGGCTGTAATGACGTAATGTGCATAGGAGATTTTATCATTATTTGTGAAGTGACTATGCGAATAAAACTACTTTTTTCTATGTAGTAGAATCACGCTGCGGCTATATTATGGCTGTGGTACGAATGAGTTTGCTCGACCTTGGAAGGACTACAGACACGAAATACTAGCGTAAAATAGCGGCTAAATGCTGCTGTGTTTCTTATGGTGAAAGTAGAGATCCTTTTTATTGGAAATGAGGCATTCAATTTTAGTCCTCAGGAGTAACATCACATTTCAATTTTAATTTAATAAGAGAAATATATTGAACGTATAAAATGTAAAATGCCTATGATCCACAGCATCTACTTAATACATAGAATACTATAATACACAATAGAATGGCTGTCAATCTTATTCTGTACGAGGATCGGTGTCGCCGGGAGCACACAAGCAATTACGTCGTATTATCACTACTGCAAACCCGATTCGCTGTATTGACAGACTGAGCGAATTTACACATTTTAGACTTTCGATTAATGTTTTTGACTCATCAATATTTTTTTATTTTTGTTTCTAATATTCACAAAATATAAATAGTTTCGACTTACTGGTTGAAGGATATGTCTCCTTTATTTGAATTCCTTTTCCCGCTGTTATTTTGACACGTAATTATTGCACAATTTAAAATAATTTGCATGCAGCGACGCTTGACACAAAAATTGAAAACGATTGATTGTGTTGACATTTATGCGTGTGAATTGACATGTTAGTGGTTACACGGGCTCTGCCCACTCCCCCGTTCTATTCTGTATGTACTCGTATTACAGTATTCTATGACTTAATACGTGGTGGACTAATTTTTTTTTTTATAGCAGAGGGGGCAAACGAGCATGCGGCTCACCTGATGTTAAGTGACTACCGCCGCCCATGATCAACCGCAACACCAGGGGAATTGCAGGTGCGTTGCCGGCCCTTTAGAAAGGAGTAAGCTCTTTTCTTGAAGGTCCCCAGGTCGTATCGGTCCGGAAAAATCACCGGTGGTAAATTATTCCACAGAGAGGTTGTACGCGGAAGAAAACTCCTGTTGAAACGTACAGTGGTGGGCCGCCAAGCATCCAGATGGTGTGGATGGTATCGGGACGTTTGCCGTGTAGTGCGTTCACAAAATTTGGCGGCTGGGATTAATCCGAACAATTCCTCAGAGCACTCCCCGTGATAGACGCGATAAAATACGCAAAGAGATGCAACATCTCTTCGCAGCGCCAGTGAATCGAGCCGATCGGAAAGTGCTTTCCGATCGGTCGGACTAAGTGCGATTTTGGCAATTCTACCCTCACACTCCCCGGGTGAGATGTCGAATGTAATTAGTGGAGTTCGTATATACCGCGATAAATATTATTGTGGAGGATTTAGCCATATATTACTTAGTTTAACCCAAGTAACTCGAAATTTTCTACGAAAAATAAACGTGATATTTGCCGGGACCCTTACTCTACCCTCCACGTGAGATTGGGTGAGATTCGGCTCGACCCACTCCCCCCATAAATTCCTCACGTAATTAATGGACACCCCCATATTCTATAAAAGTCAAAATAACAAGGTCTTCTATAGAAAAGTCAAAATAACAAGGTCTCCAATCAAATGCTGTGTATCTAAGTCCCCATCCTTGAAATGTCAACTGAAACAGGAGGTGGGCTGCAGCATCTTACAGATAACAACTCTATAAGTAATAAATATACTGCAGTTGCCAATCTGCTTGCCAACTTTGGGAACTTCCCTTCTATGACAATCTTTGGGAGTAGTTTAGTGTATGTTCAGAAGTAGACATTTTATAGGCCGTTAAAGGTGAATGAATGAAAAACTGCACCGAAATTCATTGAGTAGTTTCAAAACCCACTACTAGCGATCTGCCCCGGCTACGCACGGGTTATTTCTGGATCTCGACAACAGTTTCTTAATTAATTATTCTCGAATCAACTTAATCACACACAAAAAAATTCTGGTTATTCCGTTAATGCACCCCGAAAAATCCACCTTAGGATGGATACTCGGAAACGCGTGATCGGAATTTGTAGTATATATTATTTTCTTCCGACTTTCCCTCTCAGCTGTATACAGTAATTTAAAACATGAGAAAAACTGACTCACAATACTTAGTAGACATTACCTAGAAAAATATTCTTCTAAAGGTGCGGTCTCCTTGCGAAGGTTGGCAATCATTAAGGCGATTTCGACTTTTGAGACCGCTGCTCTAAACAGTGATCTTGTGCTCTTCCCGAACCACTGGCGCAAGTTCTTCAGCCACGATATCCTTCTGCGGTCAGGCCTCCTTCTGCCTGCCACTTTCCCCTGAATGATAAGTTGAAGGACTTCATATTTTTTGGTGTTACGCATCACGTGCCCAAAATATTCAAATTTTCTCCTCTTTATGGTTGTAAATATCTCTGTGACCTTCCCCATTCTTTGTAGCACGGTGGTGTTTCGTACGCGGTCTCTCCAAGAAATTCTTAGCATACGTCTCTGTACACCCACATCTTTTAGACATGGCTTCTGTCAGCGTCCAAGCTTCTACACCATAGAGACGTACAGAAAAGACATAGCACCGCGCTATGCGTGATCGAAGACAAATACTTAGGTTCCGGTCACAAAGAACTTTTTTCATTCTCGAAAAGGCGTTGCGTGCCCGCTCTATTCTGCATCGTATTTCGAGGCTGTGATCTCCTGTTTCGTCAACCATTGTGCCTAGATATTTGAATTTGGTGACCCGTTCAAGACCCTGACCATTTAAGGATAAAGACGTGATAAGCTCAGGTGTTCGGCTTATTACCATGTACTTCGTCTTATTGGTATTGATGTTAATACTGTATTCAACACTAACGGAAGCCACTGAATCTTAACCTTTGAAGACCCACAAGACTATCTGCGATTAATATCGTGTCGTCTGCGTACATAATGTTGCTCAACAATTTGCCATTAATTGATATGCCGTCTGGACTGTTATCTAGTGCCTCTGAAAATATGGCTTCAGCATACAAATTAAACAGTAAGGGTGACAAAATACATCCTTGTCGTACGCCTCTTAGAAATTAAATTAATTGTGTATATTTTTCTAAGTTTTAATTTTTAGAAACTAAATTAAAACTTAGAAAAATATACACACATACTTCTTGTTTGAAATGTCAACTTTCACATAAAAGGAGTACCTCACAGGATTACAGAATCATTGCAATTCTTGGAATAATATACATCATTTAAAATGAGTTTAAAGACTTACTTCCAATCGTAACATTTTTAAAATGCTTGCATGATTTTAATTGTCTGGACATATTGCAGAATTTATAAATTACGCTATAATATTAGTTAAGAGAAATATTTATTTGATATTTCTTTTTAAAATGATATATACTCTTTTATTGAAAAATAAACCCATAATTCACTCACGTATTTACTTGTGACACATAACCTGAATTTAATTGAAATCGATTTCATTACATTCAAATGAAACTGCTTTTTCACTTAGTGGACATACCTAAAATTGTAGATTTTGAGGAAGATTTGCCATCTTTTTCTATCGAGCCAAAATGTGTCAATCGTGTTTTGGCCACCATAATTATATGATGTATATAATGAATTTAAAAAAAAATGTGAATTCATAGTTATTAATGAAAAAAAATTTTATTTTCTGCGCGCCTATAAAGTATGAAAAATCTGCTTTGTCGCCCACTTCACCTTACGTTACGCAATAATATTTTTTTAAACCAGGAAGTTTAATTTGATTTAAATGCAATACGTAATGTGTGGCCTTTAATAGGCTGCAACGGTAACACGTAATAAGTATTTGGTAAGGTTTGTGGTTATTAAAAATTTATTAATAATTAAGGTGTATGTGTTGAACTGTACTTGGGGTGAAAAGTCGGAAGAAAAATTAAAAGTGAATTCTGAGTATCTACCCAATCTGGGGTGGATAGACGGACACGCGTTTCCGAGTATTCACCTTTGGGTAGATTCTTTAGGGTGGATAAACGGAATAACCCAAAATGTGATCAATCATCAAAATCGATCCAGTCGTTTAGAAGTTCAGTGACATACACGCGGACAGAAGAATTATATATTGTTACGAGCTTGGGGTTCGTGACAGTAAAAACTGCCGATTGAATTATCAAAATTGAAACTTTAATTGCCGAACACCAATTAAAACTAAAAACACACTAATAATAGAACACAACTGCATTACTGATCACTTAAGTTCGCAGTTGTATCGCTTCGAAGTATTCGTTTGTGCCAATCCAATACTGATTCGGGTCTCGGTCGATACCGGCCTTATATAGGGCCTCCTCTACTGAAACATCTAGAATGTTCGAGTACATATCGGTCCCGACTGGCTAGATGTAGAAAGTTATGCTATGGCAATCATTAGAAGGATTAGTTCTGCTGTTCGATACTAGAGGGCGCTAGTGGTAACTAATGTCTCCATGTACTAGGCATTAATTATGGCGCGCAGCAATATAATAAAGATAAGAGATAAAAGCTTATTATATTTTCAGCAAATGCAGCTAGTGAGGCCTCATCATCGCCACAGCCTTTGAGGCATTTCGGCAGTCAGATCAAACTGGACCTGTCCGTTTTACCCATAGGTACATCAAAGCGGAACCAAAATAAATGTGAGTATTTTATGATAATTGATAGAATCAGGCGTTACTTTGCGGAAACCATTATAATAAAGATATTAATTAATTTGCAACTTCCTGCTAATTAGGATATAGAGATAGGATAGGGAGTAGTGGTGTTGGGAGTAGTGGTGCTGGGATTAGTGGTGACGGGATTGGTACACGCAATTGAAGGAGGGCGAGAGGTGCTCTTCAATCCAGGTAAAACACATCTTTGTATTTAATTAGCGGAAGGTTGTAAATTAATTAATACCTTTATTATGAGTATTTTATATTTAATTACTCGAAAGATTTTATTGTATTTATATACATGTGTTACATGAATAAGGCCCGCCACATAAATACGGAATTACAAAACGGAATGAACGGGTCGGCCACACACATATGGAATCCCGTTTTGTAAGCAAAATTTCGAACGGAAAAATACCGTAGGTTTGTGACGGGTCATTGATTTTATATGGACTTGCTGCGTTCGAAATCCCGAAACGGAATCCCGTAAGTATGTGGCCGGCCTAAGTGTATGAGTAATTAAGTTACTTTATAGAATAAGGATAATAACAAGAAGTTAATAATTAAGTGCGCTTATAGGATAAGGGCCACATCAAGCACACAGTCTACATCTATTCTTGATTACGATCAAAATGCAGATGCGTTATCAACCCTGAGAACTAAGATGGAATGCCTCGTTTACAGTAAAAAGTGTCTCCAGAGCAGTGGCGAAGCCTCTATACAAGCCCAGAAGCCTGGCTTGCCTTATCAAGCTGAATCAATCAATAATATCAAGTAATAAAATAACTCGTAAACTGTTTCAAACTATTTCAAATTTCCCGCGCGCTCTGTGCGACCTCGTAGCCTTAGGAATACTGCTGTCATATATATAAGGAGAGTTGAATTGAGCTATTGGTTGTCTCCCTCGCACACGTGGGCTTTTTACCGGGCTTTCGAGAAGGCGATCGCTCCCTTTCTAACCCGTGGCAAAATGTTCTATAATAAAACATAACTACGATTGTATAAATAGCAATTAGTATGGAGATAAAAAGCCCGGCTTTTTAGTGACCATCAATTTTTCCTCAGAGCGGGACGCCTTTAAAATTATTATAGTTTTAACGCTTTTGACTGCCTTCTTGGTCTAATGGTCGTAAACGCAATTGCTGATCATGTAGTCCCAAGTTCGAAACCTGAGTCGGGTTAAGAATCATTTATTGGGTTTTTCTGTCAAAATTCTCAGTAGCAGTAGTAGTACACTTGGGCAATATAATCCAGATGCGCAGCTGGCTATTTTCCGTTGAGAATGGCCTTGTTACCAAAATTCAATCTGAAGCCCTTTAATATAGATTTATAAATAAAACACATAGTTGTTTGAATCTTTTAATGACCTAAAGTGAATTCTGAAAATCAAATAAATACTAATTGGAAATAACTTACGTTATTTGATAATTTATTGTAGACTAATTAAAAATTATCACTTCGTACCTTTAAATTCAAAAGTGTAGCTTTTCAGAATAATCACGTAACTATACAAGCCATGCTGGCAAACCTGGTACGCACGGTGACACAATGATGGCACGGGTGACAGAGTTTGCATGATTGTCACGCTTTTGTTTGTCAATGCGGGACATTTTTACATATTTTGGGGACAGCGCGACACAAACCTTTGAATCGGGAACGTTCTGACTAAAGGGGGACGTTGTACGTTAGGTATGAAGTTAGTCGAGACACAGAGGCGCGCGGGCAACGCCGACGATATGTTTGCAAGTTCACGTCACATTTCAATGTTTACATTGTGTGTTAGCTTGAGCGAATATATTATAATTTAAAATATTGTGAGTTGAAAATTTATACTTTTTTAAAGATTTTTAGTGAAAATGGAGGGAAAGGGTGTTCTTTGTAATGAATATAAGTGTGTTAAAGTGCTAATCAGCGAGGAAAAGTAAAAACTTTAAAAATAAAATTTTAATTCAATAAACATTTCTTCACACTATAATAGGAACAGGGCTCTTTAGTATTAAAGTTTAATTATTCTAGGCGTATTTAAAGGTTTAATAACTCAATACTTATATTACCATATGAGTTAAAAATATCATTTTTAACTGCAGCATAAAATATGAGATAGGCTAGGCTTCAGCATTGCTCAACCATGTTTAACCATTTAAATTTGTATAATTTAAATAAATAAGGCGACTGTAGCCCAAAGGTTAAGGGTATGGACTGCAAAATACGCATAACTATGTAACACTCTCCCAACACAAAGTTTTAAACTTTATTATTATCAGGGTTATCACCTAAGTCTGATGTAGTTGTAAAAACTTCCTGCCTAAACAGCACAAACATCACAAAAAATAGAATGGACAATACTGGAACTCTACTGAGAACCCAACAACTATGGAGTGTAGAAGTAAGGAGTACAGACTGTGTATTGTGTGTGTCCGTAGAAAATAGGAACATTAAACACAGTCCATAGAAAACCGTTAAATAAGGGTGGCGCCACTATAGCAACGATCTAAATTTTAAAGAACGTGCCGAAAATATCAGTGGAATAGATGACTTTTTCGAGGTTATATTTACTAAATAAAATTATTTTTGATTTTAAAGCTGTTAGCAGTTTAGCAGCACACTTAAACCGTCGACAACTGCTAAGTTCATTTCATCCCAGTAGCTAACCCAGCGCTGTTGTGGAGAGTTTTTGAACTGTTATTTACTGCTTACAGATGGACCCTTTTTCAACTATTCTACTATGGGAGTTGGTACTCGTTACTTCTGCACTCCATACCAACAACTTAATAGTCAGGTTTTTTTTATAGAATAAGGGGGACAAAAGGGCACATATACCATCCTATGATAAATGGTAAATACTGCGGCCCACAGATATCTACATTTATCTTCTATTGAAAATCATAATGCAGATGCGTTGTCACTGATAAGGACTTAGATGGAATGTCTTGTATCCAGTAAAAAGGGTCTCCGGTTTTCTACACTCCCCATGAGCAACACAGCATCAGTGACCCATTCATACTACAACCATAATATAGCTACAGCGTGCTCTTCTACGTACAATAGTAGGGTATAATAAGGGACCTATGTAGATATAATATGGTAACCTCACCACTAATCTGTTAAGTATGTATAAAGCACATTGACCGATAGACATTGTTGTTGACTTTATTCAAAGAAATATTATATAATCTTTTTACAGTATTACCAAACATAAAGCCCCGCAAGCCGCTAATAAATCTACCCAGCATATCGGAGGGCGACTTGGAGCATCCGAAACAGAAAAACCGTCAATGTAGCCCAGTCCCATCGACATCAACAAGCCAGAGCCCGAGGGCCAAGACCCAGTCGACGATCGCCAAAATTCGAGGTATCACCAACGAAATAAGGCACCTGAGCAATCTGTCCAAGAGTTTCGAGCGGAAACTCAAGCGTCCGCTCAACCTCGGCCTTCAAGATTACTTGGAAACTGATAGCAAGAAGCAGAAGTTAGATTAAGTTAGCTAAAACTTTTCATACAACTCGGTTGAGCTTATCGCTCGCGAGATGACGTTGCAATAAACTCTTAAATTTAGTTTTATATTTTGTTTGTAGCTTAGAAACTGACAGCTTATAGTAGAGGTTTGATTTACGTTCATTAAAATTTCGCCTACGATTCGTTTGAGTTTATTTCTCGCGATATGGCGTTGCAATCAATTTTTGTGTTATATTTTGTTTTTATACACTATTTCAATAGAATTTTCAACGAATGCAAATAATGTTTAGGTATTCAGGAGTACTATATCACTTAGTAGTATATCCAAATCTTAAAGACTACACCACAAGTACTTGATGGATTTTGATGTCACCACCAATTTTTCAATATCTTGTGTGGAAGGTTTTTGTGTACTATACATATTTTATGTAAGAACAACAGAAATGTTGATGTTTTGTGATCAAGACGTAGAAAACATAACCACATCGGTGTGGAGACGGGTTCGAGGAGCTGGTATTCAATAAGTCTATTCAAAATATATATATATATATATATATATATATATATATATATATTTACATTTGCACAACTGCATGAAACATTCTAAATTATAGTCATAGAATTTTCGTTAAGTAATTTTACATGGAAATGTCTAATGAAAAATATATATAAATAAAATTAAACATTGTTTACATTCTATAGAAAATGAATTGGAACAGATTGTATGTGTATTATTAAAGTGATAATCTGCATAGATAGGTTAGATGGTAATTTAGGAATAACAAACTTTTACGTTTTCAGTCACTAGATGGCGCTGTGGCCAATTTTCAGATGTGATTATCTTAATATATAAAATTTAAGTTTGTTATTTGTGTACCGTTATCAGTTATTTAGTTATCAGATTGCAGTAAAAATTCGTCAACATAATGCCTACACTTCCGCGAAGGTTATTGGTACAGTTGAACCCGGTAGGTAAGTAGAATCCAGGGACTGTAATACCGATATTTTGCAATTATCGATATAGATACTGATATTTAGGTATCGATTTATCGATATTGGTATCGATATTTGTTTTCAGTACAAAATTATCGATACTTGAAGTCAGTTTATCGGTATAGATACTGATACCAATATATCGATACAATAAAAATAATTTCCTTGTTTTCGTGTCTTGTCTCTCTCTAACATCAACGGTCATAAGTAAGGTAACTTGTACGAGAACTGTTGCCTATCGCCATATTTTAAAAATTGTAGATGGACTAAAAGGGAACCATAGTAAGGACGATATAAAAGCCCTCCACTTCAAACCTGGTGATCTTAATTAAAACAGTTAAGTGGTTAAGGAGTGTTAAACATTTCAGGAATACTTCTGCAGTCATATCGCATAAGGATTTTAACAATTTGCGATCAACGGATATGTCAAACTATCTCTTACAGCTAGTATAAGTTAGAAAGAGAAAAATATATACATGGTAGAGCCACGCCGTAGCTATATATATGGTTGTAGCACGAATGGGTCGGATCCACCGGGGAAGGACCAAGCTCTCACAGAATATCAGCGTAAAGTAGCAGCTTAATGCTGCTGTGTTTCGTATGGTGTGTGTAGAGGTCCTGAGATCCTTTTTTACTGGAAATGAGGCATTCCATCCTAGTCATCAGGGGAGACAACGCGTCTGCGTTTTAATTCTTAATCGAGGATAAATTTATGTCTATGGGCCACAGCATCCACTTACCATCAGGTGGACTGTGTGTTCGTTTGTTACCCTTGCCACAGAATAAATAATATTACTACGTACAGAAGTTTCAATCCTTTGATGTTGACTGCTTGCCGACGTTTAATTACCTAGATAAATCGTACTCGCAACCTAAATAAAACTTTATCGCTGCGCGCGGGTGTCCGTATTACTTTGCATCTTTTCCCCTTCCTTCGTCATGGCGGATTTCGTTACTAAGGGATGTCAATAAAGATTAAAACAATATAACTAAGAGAATTAATAAATGTTAAGTAAGTTAGGCCAAGTACCTATTTTGACTATGATCGTCTGACTATATTTTCGCACCTATGTGAGTTCACATATGCCCAACGCATGCAAATTGCAAGGCCGTTCGTAGGGAATCGCGATGCTTGGCTATTAAGAAATAGCTAGATAGTGTAAACAACAAATAAACCTGAAATACGATTCCTAACAGAAATGTGATTGTATTCGACTTAGTTAAAAATCTTGCTAGTAAACAAAGTATTAATTTCAGTGTTGTGTTATTATAACTGAAAATATTTTAATTACAAAAGACAATTGCAGGTATGTAAGTAGATACTTGGATATTGAAGTAAATTTCAACAAAGTTTTGTAATAAAGTACGTAGGTACTTCTGTGGATAAATTATTACTTAAATCTTGTCGCTGTAAGTACTTACAAAAATGAAATAAATTCACCTTTTATAACTTCCTACTAAAATCCTTCGGTAACTTAAAGAATGATATCTGAAATCTATTGTTGATCATTTAGCATCTATCCACGCAAATATATATATATACATATATATATATATATATATATATATATATATATATATATATACATATAAATTTTAAATTACAGTAAAACTATTTTAACATTTTTATCCTACAATATACTAAACACTAAACAAAAACTATTTCAACAAGTATTTACAAATAATTAATTACGTAAACAGTGTTAAAAACTTATACATTCAATCGCCTACAACACGCTAGCCCCGACTGCGTGTTACCTTACCCTGGTTAATTCGCGATTGTAGGTAATTATTTCACGCAGATAGAAAGAGCGACAAAGGGCTGCCCTTACTCTATAAAAAAATGCGTACGTGCTACGACTGCCGAATACAACTTTTAAAGAGGCTAATTTTAAAAATATAATTGTAAATGAAACAACGTGTTTTAGTATATTTTGATATTTATTGGCACTATTCATCAATTTCGCTCCCAAAATATTGGACCAAAATTCAGACCGTTAAAGTAAGCAACTTTTTATTGAAATTTTCTTCTGAAATGAAAAAAAATCCGAACTTTCTTTTAAATTTTAAATTCGATCTTTATCAGCTGACAATTTTGTTAGAGAAGTCAATAAATTATTTAATTTTTGAAGAAAATTTTGATGGTTGCTAAATAAAAATTTATGTACGTTATTATAAGTACACCTACTTATAATTATTTAAATTTGATAGAAATTTTTTTTAATATTTGGTAGACTATAGGGACGGATTACCGAAAATTGTTGATTTTGATTTATTCTGTTGATTATGCCAAGGAAAACGTAAATAAGTAACTAATTCTAAAATAATTGTTAGTTTTGTTAAACTTTTTTCTTATTTTCTTAAATAATATGATTAACAAAACTATCTGTTAATAAATAACAGAAATTTTCTGACAAATTATTTGCCTTCTTTTGTTCTGTATTTTATTACTCCGAATAAAGATAATATCTTCGATTAAATTGCTTTTTATATTAAAACTGTACTTCGAAACTACGAATTTCAAAGAAGAAAATAGTAGCCGTTCCACGCTGACTTGAGTGGCTGGACAAGCTAAAACAATACATTCCAATTTGTAGAGACGAAAATGAGTGATTTTTTTTCGACCCCCAGTGATTTAATATGTTTTCTGTTGATTAAGAAGAGGTTCCTTAAGAAACATAGCAATTTCATCATTCAAGTTCCTGAATCCATGCTATGCTATGCTATCAGTTATTAATCTTATAAGGTATATCGCTTTTAAGCCATATTTTGTGCTAAGAAAATCGTAACTATTTTTTTTATTAAAAAACAATAACTAGGTAAGCATTGATGCATTTACAACTCCGCTCGGGTATCGCCACCAGCCGCTTTGTCGGTGCCTAACGCTGGGTTGTTGCTTCGCGTGACACGTGCCGCGAAATATGGAGTATAGAGGTAAGGAGTACAGACTCGGTATAAAAAAGTGTCCGTAGGAAAGCGTTCAATAAGGGCGGCGCCACTGTAGCTACAGTCTAAATTTTAAACAACTTTTTTATAATTTTTTATTGCACAGACTCACCATAATTCTTTCTGCAATAATTATTTATTTCAAAATTTTTATTTTCAAAATCACTCAAACGTATTTTACGAGCGCTGTTGTGGAGAGTTTTTGAACTGTTATTTACTGCTTACGTATGGACACATTTTCAACTATTCTTCTATGGGAGATGTCCTCCTTACCTCTATACTCCATGCCGCGAAATCTGGCAACGTCGTCCAGCCATCATAAGTATCGATAAAGGTATAGGTATTTTTATACCGGTATAACACATCGCTGGTTTGCGAGAATAGCGACGGAACTAAAAATGATTGATTTTAGGCATTTTGGCATTTTTTAATTTCTTTGTAAATATTTTAGTGCATACCGCAAAATATAAATGATTTATTGAGGGATTGACTACTGATTAAAGGAAAATTTATCGTAGTATCAAGAAACATAAAAACATTTTAGAACTTTTATTAAAATTATTTAAAAAATCGTCATAAAAAGGCGGTTTTCTGACATCAGTCTTTATTCATGAGACTCCAAATTATAAAAATCAACTTATGTCATTTATTTAGCTTTAAAGCCTCTTAAAAAATACAAATTAAAACTTACAACAGTGTTTAAAACTTTTGTACTTATAAGTATAACAACTAAAAATAGTTTTATAACATACAATAGTAACTTTAAATATAGGTATTAAAATAAATGAAATCAAAATAAATGTGAATTCTACAAAATCAGCAATGAAAAAAAATATATAAAACAGGAACATTAATTCTTAAAAGGAAATCTAAGTAAATTAGATCATTTAATTTACAACCCCTCATAAAATTGTCGATAATAGTTTGGAATTATATTTTTGTTAACTAAATCTACTAGTCGTCTCTTCTTATTTACTGAGATTCCGTTCCTTTTTTATAAGCAGATTGCAAACTGTAATTTTCATCCAAAGATTTTGATGCACGGCTAGTAACTTTCACACATTTAAATTCATTTTCACCGTAAGATGTTTTATAGAAAAAGAACCCTTTGTGGTCAGCATCTACTTTTAAAATCTTTATATCTGCCATTTTCACACTCTGATTATCAGTATTTTTATTAAAATTTCTACCCACGTCAGAAGCTAGCGACTTTAATTCGTAAAAACTTCTATGATCCATTTCTACGACTTTGTAAGGAGGTCCTTTCTTTTTTGCAGTGCGAATAATTGAAATGTACTGATCCGGTGTATAGATAGGGCCCGATTTCAAAGTCTTTTTGATGTTTCTTTCAATGACAGAATGCACACTGTCACCTTCGTTTTGTGTGTGCCCTTTTATCAAAAATTTATGCGTGATACTATTAATATGAGCAAAAGTAGAAACAGCGTACATGTACATACTGATAATAAATTTATTCTTTTGCTGTTCGCAGCAGTTGTCAGAATAAAAAAAACTATATCTAGTTTGGCTTCAGTTGTTAGATCTCTGCCAAGATTTTTTAAATATTCTAACTCCTCTATTTGCTTCTCCTTTATGCCACACGTAGCAGAACGCATTTTTATTTTTCATCTCATAGATCGTAAAGTTTAAGGAATTCACTTTTGAAACATAGTAAAAATTAGATACATCTCCCCTAGGACATGGCATCACAGCTTGTAATTCATAAACTGCTACAATAGTTGATTCTTTATCTTCTGCTCCTTTCTTGTCCTTAACCTTTCATTCTTGAAAGCTCTTTTTCTTTTAGATGGTTCTCATATTTAGACTTCAGTCGATTTTTATCTTCTCCATTTGCGTTATTGTAGGCAACACAATCCTCACACTGATCTCCTTAGGTTGGTAAAATGCTATATTAAATTCTCCATTGAATATTCTATTGAACATGATATAATTAGCACTTTTCTCTCTTTTTTCTTCACAGTGTTTCACATAATCTCTATAAATTTCTGAAATAGTCTTACTTCCATCAATATATTCTTTCTGTGTATCTGTTCGACAGTAATGGCTTTCTATTTTTGGTATCGCCTTAATGAAATTTCTCAAACTATCTTTAATATTATCATCTACGCGACTGTGATTGCCATGTTTCCCTCGAAGATCCTCCACTATAATGCCTGAAACGTCACTTCTTGATTTTTCGGTAACTGTTCGAATAAATCTATCAGGATACATCCAGCGTAGACATAAAAAAACTCTTATAAACTCGAATTTTTACGCCATCTTTGTCTTTAAAATAAAATGCGTTATTATTTCGACGTGTTCCTTTTTTATATTGATATGACGGGACAATAGAGGACATATTGAATGCTACAAATTTTTTTTTATATTGCAAATCAGGTAATTTATAATATGCGTCAAAAATATGGCGTCGAGTCTCGTCATCAAACTTTGTGTTACACTTTAACTTGCATTTTTCTGTACATCCTGGTCCTAATCGTCTCTCTCGTATAACTTTATTATTTCTGCCTACATATTCTTTCCTTGCTACATTCGAGTAGACGTTTTGCTACATTCGATTTCCAAAGTTCTGGCTGCATTTTTCTCTTACGTGTAATATTTTGGTTTGATTCACGTGAAATATTTTCTTCTTCATTCTCTTCTACTGTTTCATCCGAATTTGACGATAAATCATTATCTTCAATGTGATAATTAGGATCTGCGACACTATCATCCGATGAAAAATCTCTTTCTTCCTTTCCTTCTTCACTTTCAGCATTCATATTGGTCAATTCAATAGCTTTTGGTTCACTTTCTATTTCTGAAATACTTTCTACTGCAGTCTCATCTTTCATATTATCATTTACTGACTCTATACTTACCTTATTTTCTTTGGTTTTATTTTCTAAGCTATGGCCATGGAGTCCTTTTTCTTTTAAATTTATGATTTTATTGGATTCTTTATTACATTCTTCTGTTTCCCTATTGCTGGAGGAAGATGAGCTAGAAGTCAAAGAAGATGTGCTAAAAGACGATGATGACGATACGGACAATAATCTGGATGGTGATCTTTGTCGCAAAATCAATTTATTTTCTTCTGAATTATTACCTGAAATTCAATAAACATTTATTTATTAACAGAATAAGTACAAAAAGCAACAGTTATTTCACGGGTTTCTTCCAGAGGAACAAACCATTATGTTAAAGAAACACTCACATTTTTGTAATTCCCGGGAATCGAACCCAGGAGGTTACGATCAGCCTCTAGCGTGAGTGTAAACTATTTGCAACAGGACACATCGGAATAAAAATAATAAGGAAAAATCTTTCGACTGGTTGAATTCAAATATTTTATTTTGCTTCCTGATATGTTATTATAATTTATATCATTTTCGATATTTTTATCAGAACTTGTTGCATGTAACGGCAAACTGCTTTTATGTTTATTGGAACCTAAAATATTTAAAATACATAGTTAAATAGTTGAAAGAATAAATATTTTTGAGACAAACTGCAAATAATACAAAAATTGTAGGCTAACCTTCTTGTTCACTATTCGTTAAATCAGTGATCCTCATTTCCTTTATTTTGACTGGCCGCTTCTTTCAACTTTCCCAAGAATAACATTCTTTCTGCCATCTTGAATAACTCTGATAAAGATAATTATCTAAAACAAATAATTTAACGTAAATAATAATAATAATAATAATATTCCACAACTATCACACAACGCCATCTAGTCCCAAGCTAAGCAGAGCTTGTGTTATGGGTACTAGACAACTGATAAACATATATTTCTAAACACATAAATATTATAGATAAATAATTAGTTACATATAAAAAACTAACTCAATATTTCTGACAGGCCTGTTGGTCTACTGGTTAGTGACCCTGACTGCTATGCCGGAGGTCGTGGGTTCGATTCCCACCCAGGACAAATGTTTTTGTGATGAGCACGATCATTTGTTCTGTGTCTGGGTGTAGTTTATCTATAATATTTATGTATTTAGAATATAAGTATGTTTATCAGTTGTCTAGTACCCATAACACAAGCTCTGCTTAGCTTGGGACTAGATGGCGTTGTGTGATAGTTGTAGAATATAAATTTTCTATCCCAAAATTCCTTGAACACAGACGCATTTCGTAATAAGAAGCAAAACCATGCCCATTTTTTTTTTTCAAAAATAACGACGTTTCTTATTTACGACAAAATAAAATCCGTTTATTTTTCGTGAATATAGACTCAAGTTACATAAAGTCGGTATAAAATACAATATCATAAGCAATCACCCATTTTTATTCAAGAATACAGGCGTAAATAGAAATGAGACATAAAAAGATACTTACTTTTATCAGGAACAACGACGGATCACTAAATGTGTCACTATTCTTGAAAAAAAATCAACAATTGTTGCAACCAAACTATAAATACGTCGGTATTTTCGAGAATCGACCGTGCGTTCACTCTGTTGTCTTTGGCTCAACTGAGATGAGCCTTTAGTTGTGATTACGCTTCGAGTGTTTTGTCTCAAGTGAATAATGACGCTGACTCTTTCTAACGAAAGCTAGCGCGAAATTGGCGTTGCGTCTCTGTTCACGATAAAATATCAAAGATTTATGATTGTTTGGCATACAGAATTCAATTTGACAGAATTTTGAATTACGTCGATATTCTCGCAAACCAACGACATGTCAGTACCAAATACTGATAATAATTAATCGAGTTATCCATATAAATATCGACATTAATAGTAGTATCGGTAATTACAAAATATCGATATCAGTCCCTGGTAGAATCCAGATATCATCCATGCGAAGCCGGATCAGATCACTAGTTTAAAATATAATCCAGGATTGAGTTTTAGCGGGAACATTATAGCCAGCGGATTGCTGCTTCTGTTTCATCATTTAAATTATAGTTTGAAGTCAATTTTGATATGATTTAGTGTATTATGTGACTATCGATATTATCCTCAACGACTGTCCGTTGAGTACAGCTGTCGTCAAAATTCCCATAATCTTCGCAATATTACCCATTGGTATATTGTGAAGAAGTTTTTCAAACTAAATTTAGTACACCCTTAGTATAACGAATCTCATTTTAAATTTTTTTTTCGATTAAACAAATTTTTAGAAATCCTAGACTAGAGTCAATGCAAAATATACATTTACATTACGAATAACTTTTGTAAAAACCTCTTTATAACGATTCTTCAATAATTAAGTTAGAAAGTAAGGTTACTCTACATAAAGTATTCTACCAATCCGTTTAAAAAGATTTCATGTCTCGAAATGTTCAATTATACAAAGTAAGACAATCTAGAAATTCAAACTGTCGTAATAAAATTTTACAATTTTTTTTTTAATTTTGCTAACCTTGCTGAAACGAATCTTATACTAACCTAACCCCTCGATAACAAACCGCATTGTAACAAATTACTTGGTATAACGAATGTTTTCCATTCTCCTTCAGATAAATGTTATATCAAGGTTTGACTGTATAGTAAAGGATAATTTTTTATTACTTTTCACTGGCAAAAGTAAAACCATAAGTATCCATAGCCAAAGATGAATACCAGGAATAAGATTTGTATCATGTGACTGTAGATTGTTTTTTAAATTAATATTTTTGGCTTAGATGCTTGTCCTTTAAGCCATGTCTTTCTTTCATTCGGGATGTTCGTTTTAATAGATTTTTTCTTCACAATATGCTGATGCATTGTGCAAATTGCGAAGTTTTTCAACTCAACCCAGCGGACAGTCAATGAGATATTTATTCAAGTTCATAAGACGCCTAAGCGATCAAAATAACTTGAGGTTTTATATCAACATCGAAGCACTTGTTTCGTCCTTTTCTCTAATAGTTCGCATGCGCAGGCACTTAAAGACAAAATCGCATCATATTTACGTATCAAAATCTACTTGAATTGATAATTATTTTAATAAATGGTTATTTAAACGATAAAAGAGAAGCAATAATTCGTCGACGGCAGTTTCCCGCCAAGACTCCTGTGACTGTAGAATTCATACAAGATTGTAGATTAAAAAAATAATAATGATTTTTAGTTCTGTTTATAAGTTTGATTTATTTTGTGACTTGTATTTTCTTTAATTGGTTAGAGGCAAGTTAAAAATAAAATATGTCATATTCCCTTCGATCAATGATTTACTAGATTAAGGATCAGGAACAAAAATAAGTCGCTCAAGTGGCCAAGTTTGCACACACGTAAACATCTATATTTCTTACTATGAAATATAGAAAAAGATTAAAAATATTAACCACTTCAGTTTATTATAAACCTTATCACTCAAACATAAAGTTTAAATACCAGTGCAAAATAGGTTTATTTAAGTTATGGCATCCGACAAAGATACCGCTTGAAATAAAAAGTCATAAGTACACAAATATTTATTCTAAAATGAAACTCAAAGTATAAGTGATAAGGTTAAAAATATTATGTTAACAATTTCGTGCTTACTCTATTTTATGCTTGGTATTACATTTCGTTCGTTATAATGGCTATGATTGGACCATACTAATTTGAAATAAGACCACAAAAGTATTTGTGGTCTTATTTTTCGGGCCGTTTTTGAAGCGCTTATCGGGAATCTAGAAGTATTATTGATCGAAGCATATTCCTACATTAGCTAGGAGAATTTTATTTAAGCTGCGTCTTTTTTATATAGTTAAGTATGACAAACAAACAAACAGTTCATCTGATAGTAAATGGATGCTGTGATCAATAGACACCATATTATCTTCAATTTTTTACGTGGTAGATTATGCTGCTGCAGCTATATTATGGTTGTAATATGAATGGGTCGGCTCGCCCGGGGAAGGACCACACTCTCACAGAATACTAGCATAAAATAGCTGCTTAATGCTGCTGTGTTTTGTATAGTAAATGTGGAGAACCGATGACCCTTTTTACTGGAAACAATGCATTCCATCTTAGTCCTCAAGGGTGACGACGAATCTGGATTTTGATTTTTAATAGAGGATAAATGTAGATGTCTACGGGCCACATCATCCACTTACGATCAGGTGGACTGTGTGCTCGTTTGTCACTCTAATTCTATAAAACAAGCCGTATTCTCCTTTGCCCCCTCTTCTATGGAAACGAAAAAAAATCGGATTTAACGCCAACAAACAAAACAAATGTTAATTTTTATGTTCTATCTAATACTTTCTTGGCGTCATAATGAATAGAATATTTTTTTAATTCTTTATTGACATGTCAACTAGCTACAGCCAAATTAATGTAATAAACGTACCATTGGTCGCTTTTATAATTTGCAGTAGGACGGCACGGCACGATATTCCCGTGGAAGTCTCGGGTTATTTTGTAGCCGTCGACGGCATGCCGTGCCGTAGGTCGCTTTTATAATTCGCCGTAAAATCATTTACGCTTTGCGCCTCCAAGTATGGACGTCATGTTCTCGAAGAGACAGCGACTACTTATTATTTATTTGTTATATTTACGACGTAAAAAAAGACAAATTACAAGAAGGTATTGGCAACATCCAATTTTAAGAGTAAAATATTTAGGAGGGTCATACTATACGCTATTTGATAAGCTGAAGAAGACCCAAATAAGTTTTTCAATTATTTTCGGATGTCAATAACAACGTTTTATTACATACTTTCTCATCTGAGTGATGATTTGAAAGCTCGCCGAACACATGTATCGTTACCTCCTGAAGAAGCAGTAGCCGGCACGTTGAGGTAAGTAATAAGAAAATTATATAACTTCCCAGTAGTTTGATTGATTGAACTAGGAGGAAACTTTTGTCCCAACAGTCAATTATAATTTTAATTTTAATTCCCACTAGTTCTATCAATATAACAGTTATCTAGAAAAGGGCATAAGTAGTAAACAATGATTTACGATCCATATAGAAGAATAAAAATTACCATATTATTTTTCATAACAAGAGTTTTAATTCGGTCATGAACTTAGTACCTACAAAAAATAACATCAAACATCGTCGTGAGTTATTGTATTAAAAAGATTTTGATACTCATTTGGTTCCACCTGTTCTATCTCATATATGTACGATGTTTTTGCTCTTCCTCTTCTGTCACAGCTTGGCTGTCGTCTTGTGGTGGTTTATGGATTTGAACATCATGAATAATCACTGACTTGGATGAAGATGGCTGTGGAGCTTTTATCACAAAAGGCGTTTGCAGATTTTGTCCTTGCACTGGGTCTTGTTTGTTTTCCTTATAATGTTGCCTTTCATTGTTAGCTTTAGATTTAGATAGTGGATTTGGTGATGGATAAGTAGGAGGGTTACTTCTTGCCTGAACTCGATTTTGTTTAATTTTTTTTATGGAATTCAAAATATCCATTTGTAAATAAATTTTATTTTATCCATTTGTATATGTCTCAGTCTTTTTCAATTCTTCAATTATTTGCAATGTTTTCTAATTTTCTTGATGACATTGTTACTTTCTTAATCTTCTTTTTGTTTGGTGAACGATTTATATCGTCATCAATATATTCATCATCTGTTTTATCATTTGCTGCAGAAGTAATATCTTGCCCAGTTACAGAACTGTCAGTGTTGCTCAGCGACTCTGTAGTATTTTCTTTCTGGCTACATTTTAACAAAAATTGGAGATGATTGGCATAGACGTATGTTTTTTAGCCTTGCCCTGACTTTTTTTCAGGATTTAAGAAAGGAATCTTTTATATTTATCCACTCCGTTGTAATTTTGTCTCCTAAAACAGTAAAATGGGTTAATAAATAATGAATATTCTGTTTCAGATACCTGGCGACTGGTTCAACATTATCGGATATGTACTGCAATTACCGAATTGGCGTTGCAACTCTCAGCAAAATAATACGACACGTTTGTCAGAAGATATGGGTTTTATTAAAACATCGATATCTACCAAAACCCACAGAAGAAAACTGGCGAAGATTGCAAATGGCTTCAAAAAAAATGCTCATTTTCCATTTTGCTTAGGAGCAATCGACGGGAAACATATCAGAGTACAAAATTTTCCACATACAGGTGCATTGCATTATAATTACAAAGGATATTACTCCATTGTACTTATGGCTATATGTGACTCTGAATACAAATTTATATATGTCGATACTGGAGCATATGGGAAAGATGGTGATTCTGCCACTTTTCAAAACGCAACTTTTTGGAAACTATTGAATAGTCATGATCTTGATATACCAAACCCCCAGAGTCTGCCACCAGAAAAAGTGAAAGTTCCGTACATTTTTGTCGCAGATGCAGCTTTTCCAGAAAACGAGCAAATTCTAAAACCATATGGTGGGCATAATCTGAGTGTGAAACAACGAGTCTTTAATTATAGACTTTCTCGAGCGCGACAATACGTTGAATGTGCATTCGGCATACTATGCAACAAATGGCGTATATTGCATCGGCCACTAAATGTGTCAAAACTTATGGCTATATGTGACTCTGAATACAAATTTATATATGTCGATACTGGAGCATATGGGAAAGATGGTGATTCTGCCACTTTTCAAAACGCAACTTTTTGGAAACTATTGAATAGTCATGATCTTGAAATACCAAACCCCCAGAGTCTGCCACCAGAAAAAGTGAAAGTTCCATACATTTTTGTCGCAGATGCAGCTTTTCCAGAAAACAAGCAAATTCTAAAACCATATGATGGGCATAATCTGAATGTGAAACAACGAGTCTTTAATTATAGACTTTCTCGAGCGCGACAATACGTTGAATGTGCATTCGACATACTATGCAACAAATGGCGTATATTGCATCGGCCACTAAATGTGTCAAAAATGTTTAGCATGGATATAGTAAATGCCTGCGTTGTACTACATAATATTGTCAGGGAGTATGATGGATATATGGCAAAAGACTACGTTATCTTAAATAACCAAGATGGATTGACCAGTTTACCCTCAAGTAAAACAAAATGAACATACAAATCAGTACGAGGTGTCCGAACATGTTTTGCGAATTATTTTATTTCCAATGTTAGATCTCTGCCATGGCAATTACAAAAAATAAAATCTATTGAACATTTTATTCAGTCAATAAATAAAAAATATCTTACCAACTAGTTTATTTTCATCAGTAGTTAATTCATCATAACGTTCTTCCAAGAAGCGCAAGATCTCGTTCCATGCCCTTTGTTTAACAACTTTATCTTTAAAAGCGTCCGATGATTTATCCCATAGGCATGGTCTTGTTTCAACAAGTTCCAGTAAGGTTACGATATCGATTTTAAACGTCATTTTTCTTTCGCAACATACGCAAATGGCGCCGTGACGCAGCCGCCCGCGCCGCCTACCTGGCTACGCACACACACACAGCTACATTTCTTGTACGTACATAATACACTCTCAATAATGCCGCGACGGTTTAATGGGGAGCGCAGTGTGCTACGGCGACGGCACGGCAGACGTTTGCCGTTCACGGCATGCCGTTGCCGTGGCCGATAAATTAAAAGCGTCTGCATACAATTTCATACATTTTGCTTTCCTATTTTACCGTGACGGCAAAACCGTGCCGTACCGTGCCGTGCCGTCCTGCGGCAAATTATAAAAGCGACCATTGACAACTTATCACCCTATAATCCATTGTGATATATCAATGGGCTTGAAGTTGATTGTTAGATTATCGCTGTGTATAAAATAAACTTTCATTTAACTTTATAAAAATAATCAATACTTAAAGTAGCTAGTATTCCTCTTGTTCAAAATATCACCCTATTATATAGATGAAGAGAATATGTTGGCGAAGAATAACTCTCGAGTGTTGTGTGATGAAATACTAGATAATGAATGTAGACAAAAAGTTTTTAAAAAATTTTAGTTTCCAAAATATATAATGGTTCATTGGCTGTATGAATCTATGACGTTATTAAATGTCAATCTTATAAAATTGCTATGAAAATCTCTATATATAAAAATCAATAATTGTTGTCTCTTAGTATCGAAAAAACTCGACAATGGCTCCACCAATTTTGATGAATATTTTTGTGTGTATTTATGTGGGTCTCTTGATAGTTTTAAAACTCAACTGGACCCGTTAGGTGACGCTGTTGACGAGATCCAGGAATCAGCCGTTATCACCCAATTATATAAATGTCTATCTCTTAGAATTTCTGTAGAATAGTGTCTTTAATAGCTCGTAAAAGGTATTTAAAATCGAACATGGATATGTACTGTCTTTAATTAACTAATAAAAATATTGTTTATATTAGAGGTGAAACGGATATCCGGTAGCTATCCGATATTCGATCTATTTTGCTAATAAAATTACTAACCGGCCGGATACCGAATAACAAACAGCCATTTCCGGCCGGATACCGGATTTAAAAAAATTACAAAATATCAAATTTAATTAAGTACCTTATTTATGTCACTTAACATATGTAATTATTATTCACAAAATTTTTATTTTAAAACTTAGAAAAATAGAATTAGTAATTTAGTAACATTATGGTCATTAAATACTTATTTCTCCGCATTGAAAGGTAGCAAGCGGTTTCGGCTGTCTTCATAAACAAGGCCAGCTTCAGAAAAGTCTTTCGCTGTACACACTGCTGCTGGGTGCTGAAAGATAGATTTTGACAAACTTTCATAAATTAGAGTATTGTGTTGAGTATTTGGGTATATAAGGGTCACGATAGCCGCGGAACATATCGCACTGACTTTACTTTTCGCTTCTTATCGATTGCTTTCGATGCACCAAACGGCAATGTTCGGCAGAATATCCGGCGATAAGACTGGCCGAGTATCCGGTATCCGGCCAAACAGCTATCCGTTTCATCTCCAGTTTATATCAGATATAGAATACCATACAACATTGCTTAACACTTAAATTGTCGTCGGTCACGTTTTAAATGCAAAAATCTCAAAGTAATTGAAACGGCAGTCAAAGGCTTAATATTAGCTCATGTAAATACACAAAGCTTAGATTACGCTAGAAAAGGCTAATTAGTGTAAATTTTAACCGAGCTTAAAACAACGAGAAGGTTATATTCGACGCTAGTGTTTTATGTATGTTCACCAATTGCTTGCAAATGGTAGAACTGATTTTAATGGTTCTTAATAAATGGTTTATACTTAATCGGAGCCGTGGTAGCTTAGCGCTCGCTGTAAATTTTACAGTACTCGAGCAACCCGGGTTCCATCCCCGCCGGCACCAATGAAATTATTAATTGCAATTTTAAGTGCTGATTTACCACGTGCTCGGCGGTGAAGAAAAACATCTTGAGAAAAACTGCATGTCTGAGAAAAAAAATATTTCGAACACATGTGAAGTTCGCCAACACGCATTGGGCGGCGGACGCCCTTGCGCAAAAACCCTTGCAGAAGTGAGAGGTCGCCTGTGCCCAGTAGTGGGACGTATATGACTGTAAATACGTTAGGGGTGGTCCTCTTTATAAATTTGAAGAAAAAATGACATCCCATAAGGTAGTAAAATATGAAGTTTGTAAGGTAACTATTTAAGATGAATCCCTAATAGTAGTAAACTAGGGGACTAATAACCATTCAAATGTAAATATTATATAATAGACAAAATTCTAATTGTTACCATTTAAAATAGCTTTGTACTTCTTATTAAAATTTTTATTGATATCAGTCTTTAATATTGTGCGCTTTAAAAAAAACAGTGTTGCCACAACTACGGTGACATGATTCGAAAGTCATTAAATAAAATAATTTATTTATTTTACACACGGCAATTTCTTCCCTTGAGCGTTGAAAGTATAAAGGGTAGGGAGGACCATCTTATTTGGGGGACAAGTTGAAAAAGTGTTCAGCTGCAAGCAGCAAATTCTAGTTCAAGAACTCACCAAAGTAGCGTTAGCGTAACAAGAGGAAATGATATGAATTTAGCAGTTGTTAATGGAGTGAAGTGTGCCGAGTTGTTAAATTTCATATAAGTCCCGCACGTTGATATTGCGATGAAACTTTGTCATGCTGCTGCTACACTAACGAGAAACGTCAATGCCAAAAATATTGCCTTAAATTTAGCGCGATAAAGTGAGTGGCTACACTTGAACGGTCAACGTCGTTTCAGTTTGAATGCCGTTGAACGGCGTTAAATGTTTTTTAAGTTAAATGTTCCTCAAATTTCAAGCAAGATGGACGTTGACGACGTTGACGCAAGATGACGTAGACGCAGCTACTATTTATTCGCTGAGTGTAAATTTTTATTATATGATATATTTTATCATTGATGCAATATTATTAAAACTGCAAATAAGTACAAAAAAGCAGCAACGCGCCGAATCAACGCTGTTTAGTAATACTCGGACCCGGAAGTCAATGACATAAGAGGTTTTCGTTCCACGATCACTTTGAACCATCTTATATCGTATTATATACTTACCACTGTATTTAATGTGTGATTACTGTCATATACCCCTCGTAGGAAACTATTCATCGACTCGAATGCGTACCAACTAGTTGTATACACTTCCTTTGTCAGCCAGCTCCGGCTTCTAAGACTTTTTATACTTGTTCAAATGGGTTCTATAATAACCCAATAGTATTTCCTTCTTCTATTTAATTTCTTCAATAGATGTTTGAAAAGGTAGTAACAGTTGCATAATTCGTCGCCAAGCATCATTTTGAATTGTACGATTTTTAAAACTTTTAAGACTCCGAATCTCGAATCCCCACAAACATGGCTCTTTTTTCAGGATCTCGACAAACGCAACTTTTACATTCGTGCAACCCCGTTGCACTCAGCATGCACAATGAGACAAACGTAGTGTGGCCCCTTCAACGCGATAATACGTGCTTTAATCCTTTGATGTACCGCCACTCGAGTTATCGACAAACGGAAAAGGGGTTAATTCGTGACCACACGTCTTTTTTCGACCGTATGTAAAATACTTTTATATGAATGATTATTTATGCAATTTACAATTTTTCACTTTCATAATTATCTTGATAACTGATTTTTGGCGCTATCTTAATTGGACGCTTCTCGACAGACACTTTTTCATAGACAGAGATGGTCCCCCTAACCTTTACTCTCCATAGTTGAAAGGGAAAGGATCTCATGACATCCTATAAATGACGGTATAACCATCACGTTTGTGCTAGGCGTAAAATGCCTACACCGGGTGATGAAGAGCAACGCCAATGGTACACAATGCGATCCTCCTCTCTAAATAATTTGGAGAAGTACATAAAATGAAATATCTTTATTTCTTATTATTATTAATATATATATATATATATATATATATATATATATATATATATATATATATATATATATATATATATAACTTCATACCACCGTATCTAAATATTAAATAATGTTCCTCTGACAAGAAAAGAAAATACGAAAGAAACTGTAGGTATCATATGTTTTAATCATTTTTTTTAAAAGTTATAATTAACCTATTTATAGTAACACAATGGAACACGTTCGGCAGTGAATTTTTTAAAAAGTTGTAATTAACCTATTTATAGTATAACACAATGTAACACGTTCGGCAGTGAATTTTTTCGGACTGATTGATGATAATGATATTTTAGTTTAATATGACTTACATATATTTAGTAATGTGGAGTATACTTTAAAGTGCCAAATTAATTTAAATACTGCAATGGGGCTAAGTACCTATATTTGTAGGTTGTGACGGAATGATGAAACCGAAACTTTTTTATCTAATCTAGTCTCAGTTGAGACGGGCCACCGTGCCCAAAACTCGATTTGGAGGACATTAATATTACATTTGGTTCACCTACAGTAGCAGATAGTGATTTTATTATTCGGGTCGGCTCGATCGGGGAAGGACCACGCTCTTAGAATACCAGCGCAATATAGCAGATAATATACCCATAGTTTACTCGCGGTTTGTTACTCCGGACACACCTGCGTGATAAACGTTTATTCTTTGGTTTGCTGAAGTAACGTGCCAATTTTTTTTACTATTATAAGCCAGGTTTTGACTGTCCATCCTGATGGTAAGTGGTGATGCAGACGAGGGTAAAGCGTACTGATAGCAGTGCTATCACTGAGACCGTTCCTTTTCGCAGATTTATGCTGCAGCACAGGGTTTTTAAGTGTATTTTCTTAAATTTATGATGGTGGTAAATACAAAAGATAAATAAGACATTTATCTTTTTTCCCCGATTATTACTTTTTTATATTTTGTGCTGCATACATGCATTCGTGCTTGAACTGAAACAAACGTATTTCTTATTTCTTTCTTTCAATGATCTCATGGAAAGAGACGCTGCCAAATTATTCCACTCTTTCCACTTTCTCACTTTCACACTTCTCTGACAACACTAGCGATCCGCAAGCCTAGCTCGTCAGTCGTCACACAGAACCGCGCTTTTGTGATTACGGCGAACACTGTAACTGTAATTTTTAAACTAAACTGTAAATTCCGTTGATCTTTAAGCTTTAGTCTCTTGATCGTAACGCACAACGCTGTGGTATGCGGCTCAAATGCAGCGTTTAGCGTTTCTGCTTTCTGCGAAGTGGTCAGTTGATTATGCCGCAGCTACCAAAGCTGACGTGTCAACATGAACAATATTTTTGAAATTTGTGCTTTACTTGTGGAGGAGGAGGAAGAAAAATTTCTACCGCTTCGGAAAAGACAAAGTAGCAGTCCGACAAACATGTTTTACAACGGAGGCGTGAAAGACGTTACGAAACTTTAGTAAAAAGTCATTTAATTGATTGTGAAGAAAAATTCATAGGTTATTTCGGGTTTCAAGAGAGATCTTTAACAAAATTTTAATGACCCTAAAAGATGATATTACTGACATACAACCTGGAACTAGAAAACGGAATCTGGCTATTACTGCGCAAGAAAAACTGTGTTTAACGTTATGGTTGAAGTTTAATGTATTTATTTATTTAGCTAAAACAACTTACAATAATATTATTTTGTTTACTAACAATAATATCTTTATTGAAGTAACAAAATTAACCATAATATTATTTTCTTTAATAACAAAAAATCACTAAAGTAAACACACTAACTAGGGGAAAAATAAAAACAATAAGAAAAAATATTATTGGTTGGAGAATGTTCTGGGGATGGTATCTTCCGTTGAGAGTGTGAGTTTAGGTGCATTACTTGCTGTGGTATGTTGACTTAATGTTCTAAATGTTGGTGTATCTCGTTGCACAAAAACCAATAATTCCATCTCAGTAACGATGTTACAAACTTGTCATCTGATTTGGGCGATTTTGTCTGGAGGGAATTGGTATTCCACGTCGCCCATACGCTTAAAGAATGTGTGTACTGGCGTATTGCCTTGTTCCGAAATTTGTCTCAACGTCTTTGTTCTTTCTTCTCTATTTTTTCTAAACTCTTTGACAAGGCTCTCTTTTTTTTCTTTTTTACTTGCGATGTACCTTGAGTTTGGTTTGGTGTGACTGCATGTCGTTCTTGCGACAGTTGTGGGGGATAGGGGGCAAGATGGCGTACTTAAGCTTTAACCCTTACAGACCGGCGCCGACGCCACCTGTTTACAGTGATATAAGGCTTCTTTCAGTGTTTTTCAGGTGACGTACAATTGTGTTTACCTGAGCCCTAGTGTTACTGCGTCACAATTGTGAGGGTCACAATTGTTTCAACTGGGGCCATACTGTTCGTGAGTACAGTTAGAGACAGACGACTACGATTAGAGATTCTTGTGTGTTATAATATATTTATCTATTGTTATAGATGAAATAAAAATATGGAAATTTGAAATTTCGTTTATTTAAAGTCTTAGTAAAATAATAGGAACTTAGGACAATCATCAATCATAAAAGTTAACATAACTATTTTAACAGTCTTATTATACATTTAAAGAAAATTGTATTCAAACATGAGATCCATTTAATTAGGCGATTATTGAACAAAGTAGTTTTAGATATTATTATGAAAAGAAAAAAAAACAATTCTTGTCTTTAGTTAAGCACAAATACACGTCGCATTTAGAACAACGAGCACGGGATCGACTGGAGCAGTTAGATAACCTGCATTTTCTAGGAGCTGGAAGTGTGTCGAATATGGGCCAATGGTTATAGCCATCATAGCGTTTGTCAACTGTCGGCATAGGAGCTGGTCTGTACTCAGATGTACTTGGCATTTCAGCAAGTTCCAAGTCGTCTCTGGTTCGTTTTCTGGTTGGTTCACCCAATAAATATTCCACAATGGACAAACGGAAGCTCAGTAAATCCATGATCTTAGACTTATGCAAATTGTTTCGTTTGGCGTCTTCCCTGTACTCAAACCACGAATTTACTATGGCAAGGTCAAAAAGATGGATAATGACCTTAAAACACCATTTCCTTGTTTTGAACCATGTCCTATAAGTTTCTAACATCTGGTCACATAAATCCACGCCACCCATGTTTTGATTGTAATTTTGTACAACGCTTGGGCATGGTATGCTTTGATATGCTCTTGTTTTTTTATCCCATCGTGATACAGTGCTACTTGGGTCCCCACCGTGTATTGATGAAATCATTAGCACGCTCTTCGTATCCTTCCATTTCACCATACAAAGTTTTCCATCCGGGCTTACGATCTCTTCCCATTCACCTCTCTTCATTGCAGAATCTTTTTTAAAAGTGTACAAAGTTTTCTTGAACCTATTAGCCATGATTGTGCCGGTTCCATCAAAGTGCCTGTCATTTAGTTCTCTGAGCAAAGGGATCGTCGTGAAGTAGCGATCAAAATATAAGCTTCCGCCAAGAAGAGTCCTTGCTAAACGCAAGACTACGGCGGGACCCAAACCAAAAGACCTATCGGGCAAGTCAGTTGTAGCACCTTGATATATTTCAAAATCAAGTACTAGGCCCTGTGGTTTTGTAATTACAAAATTTTTTAAGCCTACAGGTCTAGGTTTGTTTGGCACATATTGCTTGTCAGGACATCGGCCAGTAAAAGGAATCATTTGCTCATCTATGGAGAATGTAGTGCTTTCTCGAGGCAATGCCAGGCAACGATTTCTAACAGCGTCTATCACAGGCTGTATTTTCCACAAACGGTTCCTGGCCTTTTCGTCCTCATCAACGCTATTATAATCAACAACATGCAGATTAACTCGTAATAAAAAAAACGATCACGAGACATCGCCGAGGCAATAGGATCGTATTTAAATTTCTGATGCCAGTACATCTTCATCCTAGGACATTTGACAAGACTTATCATACCATGAACCCCAAAAAACTTTTTAATCTCACCTGGCGAGCATTGTGGCTTCATTGCACACCCCTTTTCAGCTATATAGTACTGTGAAGTGGCAGTCGAAAACTGTTCAAATAATTCCTCAGTAAAATAGTTTTCAAAATACTCTGCTGGCGATTTTGGTGGCTCACCTGGGTCTGGAGGCTGTTGGACTGCGGTAGGCCTACCACGGAACTTCTTTTTAATCCATTTTCCATCATCAGATTCACGAGAAATCGGCAGTGAAGACAGAGGCATGTCGTCCTCAGAATCATCAGATAAACCGTCATTTTCAGCATCCGGGGCCCATGTGTCGTCCTCATCATCACCTATATCCTCTAGGTCAGATTGCTGCAGTAAATTTTCAATATCCTCATCATCGAGCTGAGACATGTTTCCCGCCAAAATGGTATTTTTTTATTGATTGGGGCCGGCGTGCAACAATTGTGACGGTAAATTTCTTACTTAATTTTTCGTACATTAAACCTAAAACAACGACACAACTAATTCAGCTTTGTGTAAAGTAATTAATACGTAATAAAATAATACCACAATTGTTATGATTTCTTTAAAAATAAGTAAAATATTCTTACCAACACGTGGCGTGACACAGGTGGCGATGATCGTCAGAATGAACGGGTCGAAACATGAAGAGCGGCTCGTACGCAACTTGTCTCACTCACACCAATGCAAAGTAGATAGCCGGCACAATCGTGCGAGCTTGGGCCCGTCTAAGTAATATTATTAATTTAACGGAAATTTTGCTTCAAACTACCGTCACAATTGTATTCGGCAGGGATGTAAGGGTCAATAATATTAAAAAAAATTACACAGTGAAACAATCATATTTATTTTTTAATTAACAACCTTTTTGTATTATTGTATTGTATTATTAAGTATTCTAATGATTTTTTCTAACCTAATGACTATCTATTATTAGGAACTTTAACACATTTAAGAGAAAAAAATTAAAATATAAAAGGTGTTTCGCCCCGTCTTGACCTACGGTGCTGGTAAAATGGGGTACCCCCCCCCCTGATATGAGATGGGGTGTTAAAAATTATCACAAAGAAAGATGATTATTTGAGTTGACAGAACTCGCAGACACGGGTGGCTTCGTCATCATCATCTATTATGAGCCCATCTTCTACATGATGAGCATGATATCCATCCTTCAATGGAAACGGAATATACTTCCTTGCAATACATACATGGTGTGTCCTCTTCTTCACTTTCATCTCCAGATGATGAGACTTCGTCGTTTTGCTGTTTTCACTGATCGGCTATTCTTCTTTGATTTTTTATTTTGAGCTTTTTAATAGTTTTCTTCTGTTTTTTTTAATTCATCTTCTTTCTTTTTGTATTTTCTCTAGTTTTTTCTGTTCAGCTTCTTTTTTTTCCGGGCGATGACTTCTAATTCTTGTTTGTTGGGAGACGACGTGATTATTGTTGTTTTTTCCACGCTTTTTAGCAAATCGAGAGGATTTTTTTAGTAAGCGGAAGTGAAATTAGTTGTTTTGGAGAAGTCAAAACAAAGCTACTGTCGCTTTTATCGCGGTTTTAGTGAGTGCGTCTGCTAGTCGGATTGATTTTGTTCTGCTTCCGATGTCTCCAGTTGCTCTTTAGTTTGATACTGTGCTGATTCCTGATTAACTAGCCTGGGACTCGGAACGGACAGTCGGAACACCCTGGCAAAGGGTGATCAACAACGTCTCTGCTAAAAATCGCAGCATTGTCAGCTCTTTGTGCAGCTACTGTGTCTGAAGTTTGGGCAGTAGTGACATTGCTTATATCTTGAAATACTTCTCGGTTTGTGTAAGTTTGGACCGTCATTTAACTGGATCTCGATTGTCAAAGAGGGGGCAAAAACTGTTTCTGAAAACACGTTTGGATTATAGGGCCAAGTCCCACATTTACGAATTCCATTTGCTGCTGTGGACATAGTGGCTGCTTGAACAACAGCATCTCCAAATACGTCAGCGACTTGGCGGATAGTAACGACTAGTCCAGGGTTAGAACGCAACCAGGCTGTAATGGCTTGTTCATAATAAACGCTCAATGGTCGCATGAACACAACATCTGCTACTTGTAAACGGTTTGTCGTGTGTGGAGTAAAACACAAGATTATAACACCATGAGCTCATGCTTCATTGATCAGGTCAATATTCTGAGTGTGGGTGCTGTGCCCATCCAGTAAAAGAAGCACGGGTCTCTTTAGATGCTCCAATGAAAATCACAAAATCTCTTAATTCATTGGAGGAACAGCTCGGAAGTAATCGCGCCCGAATCACTACATGTGCCCCAAGCACCAGCTTGTGAATTCACCATCAGCTCTGGATCATCTGGAAAAGGAAAAAAATTGAAATTAAATGAACGCAATGTGTTTTCAAAATTCTCGCCGTCCCAGTTGTGTGACGTCACGAATTGTGAATACACTATTCGAACAAAAAGATAATCTGATTAATTTGTTTTGAGATATATGCGACAATCCGCAGAACTGGGACGGCGATACGATCTTCACAAACACAACAAACCACAGTCACGTGTCAAACCGTGTGAAAATATAATTGACATAAACAATTTGCAGTAAAACACTTTTTTTTTAACTTTTTTTCGACACTGCACTTGTGAACCACTAACCACCGGGCGACAGACAAGTATCATGGTGGCGTGTCGAACGGCGAATGAACGAGCGTGATTGGTCATTTTGAACTGTGAATTTCGCTGGGTACTCCCTTACCCGCTACCCCGTCTTATCTCCTGTCCTAAAAAAGGTTCACACGATGACATCTGCGTTGAAGAACTTGATAGTCCTGATCATTTCTCTATTTGCAAATTGTCTTCTTCATTAACTTCAAGAACATTTCCGGCATTAATACCAGAAATACATTCCCTTTCTTCAAAACTTAACTTTTTAATATTAGTTTCGTTGTCATATTTTGAAACAGAACCAGCACATCCGGTTTTCTTATTATTCTGATTTTTTCTATACGTGGGACACTCAATAAGTTTTGAGATATACAAAAAGTATTTTAGATACTATTAATATTTATTTTACATCTTTTCAAAATATTCTCCACCATGCTCTAAACAAAGTTCCATTCGCCTAAACCAACTCTGAAATCTCTTTTGCCAGTCTTGATCTGACAGGTCTGAAATCGCTTCTACGTAGCCAACCGCGGCTTCTTCGGCGCTTGAAAAAAACTTGCCTTTTAATTTTTCTTTGACTCTTTTGAAGAAAAAGAAATCACAGGGAGCTAAGTCAGGGCTGTAGGGATTCCTCAATATATGCATTTGTTCTAAGGGAGGTATGTGAAGAGGCGTTATCGTGATGCAGCATGATTCGACGAAGCCCGGTCTTTGGTCTTCCCTCCTGCACAGCTTGAAAAACTTTGGGTAATGCAACTGTAGTATACCATTCAGAGTTGACTGACCTACAATTTTCCAGCATTGACGTCGACAAATGTCCGCTCCGCGAAAAAAAACTAGCCACCATTTTATTTTGCCGACGTTGCGAGGTCTTTGCAGTTTTGTCGGTAACTGTCCTTCTGAGTAGACCCATACCGATGATTGCCTTTTATTTTCCGGATTATATTGATAGATCCATGTCTCGTCACCAGTAACAATTTATGAAACACGCCTAGATGCGCCGTTTTCAAAACGTAGACGCATTTCATGGCACCAATCCACACGAGTCTGTTTTTCGCTTTCGGAGAGCAAACGAGGGATCCATCGACAACAAAGCTTCCTCACTCCAAGATGTTGACGTAGGATGGTATGAATGCTCCCCGAACTAATGCCTACAATTTTTTGATGTCCGTAGGGGAGATACGCAATGAAACGGACGTTTAAGTTTGGAGTATTATTAGATACTGTAATTAAAATCTTAGAAACTCGTTATCTGTCCTTAAAAAATTCGGAGGTATTATAGTATTAGTAATACAACATCTTTTATGAAAATGAAATTTATTTTAAGAAATATTTTAGGTTTTTTTTTTAACTCGCTAATTGTCCGTTTCATGACACAGAAGCATTGAACAGGACAAAGGGTGTCTTGAAACGGACTAGGAACCAATGTTATACTTTTTGCTATATAAATACGCAAGGTTTCACAAATTATTTTATTTTACATTATAACCCTTATTTAAACAAATCAAACACTTTGGTACAAAACAAAATGAGATCAAAAAATTTAACAATTACAAAAAAAAACGACATTAAATAATTAGACTCTTCTTAATCTTCTAACAAAAATGAGATCCTGGCTTCATTATGGTAAAACAATATAAGTAGGTATCAAAAATATTCCTTAATAATATTAGGACTAACTAAAAATCATAAACTGTTTACTTATATCCTATAATTTTATACCCATACATTAAAAGTAATCAGTCTTCCCGTTACCAAGTTGGAGTATTAATTGCAATTATTACAAAAATAATTGTTCATACCCTTCAGACCACATGTCTCGTGTGCCCATTTCTTACAAATAGTACACATTAACCAGTCGACACTGCTGCATAAATAAGCCCCATTACAAACAGTGCAATAGTCATCATTTTTGTTGCTTTTTTTTGCGGTGCTTTTCGCCTTGCATTTTCTCTTAGCCTTAGATGTAGATGAAGATGATAGATTATATGTAGAGCCATCAGACGTAATATCCGAATCATCTGATTCTCGGAGTGAAAAATCGGAATCTGACGACTCTGAAAATGTCTGTATTAGCTTTTTCATGTTTTTGGAAGTTTTCATCTTTTGCTTCCTTTTTTGAATTTTTTTTTTAGCAAAATGTTTTTCAATTAATGCGTCCTTCTCAGGCGTGTCAGTTATAACCGTGCTTTTCATCTTCCTAGGTTGGTTCTGAGTTTTCTTTCTAGGCAATGCCTTTGGATAAGGTCGGATACATTCAGGAGATAAAACCATGGTTGATGGATTCGATTCTGAGTATGTTATTTGTGGAGTGAAGCTAGAAGAGATAGCAGCAGAGGTATCGGGAGCATCGACAGTAGATAGTATTTCAGCAGAAGTTCCAGAAGCATTATCAGTTGATACTTCAGCATTAGGGAGCTCAGCTGCAGGTCTGTCAGTGACAAAAGATGTCAAAAAATCATCCTCAGTAAACGTATTTCTATTAAATGGATGAATACCAGTTTTTTGAAATCCTGCGATAGCATTTTCCATAGAAAATGCGGCAGTATACGCTGTATTGGCAAATTGAGCCACTTCGTAAATCGATGCTGTCTTTCCGGGATTAGATAACATCCATGCATTCATGGCCTCCCTATACCGAGCTTTAAATGGTCCATAAACAGAAACATCAAGCGGTTGGAGGCGATGGCTACAGTGAGGTGGAAACGTTAAGATTGTTATATAATTATCTCTAGCCAATGTGA